TTTTTCCAGAGTAGAAAGGATGGTAATTGGGGAGGGGGGGGGGGGGGGGGGGGGGGGGAAGGGGAAGGAGAACCCCCCCCCCCCCCCCCCCCCCCCCCCCCCCTCCCCCAACCTCCCTGTCAGCAAGGGTGCACAATCCATGGGCCAGGTTCGGACATGGAAGTGGACATGCGGATCAGACATGTCCATCACAGCTACGGATTGAACAGATTCATTTGGGATTCTAGTGTGTGCTTCTGTTCCATTGGGCATCAAGTCAGTTGAAGCGAGAATCAAAGGTTTAGGACCTTTAGGTTAAGAAAACCCTTGGGCCTTGCGTGGCTTACAATGAGAAGATCTAACTGGTACAGCAAGTTTGACAACCATATCATACTACTTCAATACTTCGCTTTGAGTAGGCAATGAGCCATTGGATGGTTATCCATCATATCCGTCAACATTCAAAACATTCAACTACGTATGGTCAGTCATAATTGTATCAGGAAGTCAGCAGAATGCATGGCTGTGACAGTTATGGTGACTCTGCCACTCGGCCAGTGGCTTTCATGAATGTTATAAGAGTCGATTCTTCCATTGTACTGTGACAGTCGCGATACTAGTAGCAATGACTGCTTTTTCATTACAATGGCTTTGAGAGCACTTCATGCAACTTCATGGTGGCAAGCGGATCAGGGCATACACATACATGCTAGGGCTTTTGTGGATGCATACCAGCTTCATGATGTACTGAAGTTTTTACCTTTCATGTAGTTGAAGTCATTCATCAACTCGTCATCTGCTAGATCTTTTGCTGCATCGTCTCCTGGGGGAAATACTTCATCATCTCCAACGCTGGTGTTTATAATCAAGTTAATCAACCACCACCATGAATTGTGCAATGTTCAGTCCACACACACACACACACATAGATGTCTTTAACAAGAAAAACAAAAGGAAATCTGCATGGGTAAATGGGAGTTTATCAACATTTTCTGGAGGTTGTGGGGGGGGAGGGGGAGGTGGAAGAAGCCGGAAATTATTTGAGCAGTTAGAGCACACTCGACTGAATCTGGCCATAATTGCTATTCTATTATGGAGGAATGCGCAATGCGCAGGTGAGCACTTAGGGCCTTGGTGAACCTCACAAAGGTCCCTTCTCTTGCATTTCGCTATGCACTTGCTGACTGTCTCTGCAACTGATGATACCTGAGAAGCAGAACCGTAACGGTTATTAAATTATACCTTTTCTCATCATCCACTCTGGGGGATGTTTTTTTTTTTTTTTTTTTTTTTTTAAGGAGATGCATGGTTGCATCCCTGCCGACCGCCGACCCCGACCGCCGACCGTATTGCAGAGGACCAGTAGGGCCGACCGGTCGGCGGTCTGCCGACCAGTCAGAAAACAACCATCCACTATTTTTTTCAGATCTGAGTTGGAAGCTGTACTGCACTTGCTGAGTACAGCCCAAATCCGCTGAGAAACTTTTGGGGATGGGGGGGATGGGGCCTGTCTCTTATACACATCTAGATGTGTATAAGAGACAGGTGCCTGTCCGTCTTCAAGTACATTCTGACAGGGCACAAAATGTAACGGTCATGTTGACGCTCTTGGTGTTCACGAATAAATTCGCCCTCAAATCTCATCATCAGGCTAAGCATGCAAACACGTTTATCAACAGGTCTTCTGATAAATGCACTTCCAATTTTCAAATGGCGTTTTTTTTTACCAACGCATCCATAACTTACTTCTTTACTCTGATACCTCTGCACGTCTGCAACTCTGCCATTATGCACCTGGACATGCAAACCTGAATGGTTAGATGCATTGAATGTACTGTGATGTGTGGTCATCCATATCTACTCTGACAGGAACATTCCAACAAATTTGGTGAACCCCAAACACACTGGCACACTCTGTTTAATGTCATTAGCGTCTATAGCCCTGAACAGATTCTTCTCGGTAACATTTTTCTGTTTAAAAAAATAGCTTTATTGAAGTTTATTCCTATGATCCTTCCTTAACTCAGTGATAAGAGCACCACATGTTTTCCTTCATGGAGGCCAGAGTAGCATAACAACGATGAAGGAAGTGAGAACACGAGGGGAGAAAGAAGAGACAGCAGAAGATAAGAATTGAACATCAAGAACGGCAATAATCTCCACCTTCTCCCTCCCTCGAAACTCGCCATCACCAAAAACATGCAAGATAGGCCGCAGGCCTTAAAATAGTGGCGGCAACTCACGTGAGATGTCCGGCCATAAGAAAATAGGGCCAACAACTTACGTGAGACATCTTCCTTGTCTAAAACCACCAGTACTTCCTGAAGTTGTGCCCGTTAACAAGCCACAATTTTAGGAAACGGACGGGCCACTACAGGAGCGCCCAAATTCATCCAACTAGAAACGTTTCTACTCTATTCTTTTCCGCGGCCGATAACTGGGCCAAGTACTGGTGGTTTAAAACTCAGATATCTTACACTACCCAACGTATCCGCGCATTTCCCAGCCACAAACAGACGAGATGGGCCAAAACACGAAACGGTATACCCCAGCCGCCCAACACAGGATTCAGTCTGGTATTCCAGGATTCAGTCCTTCGGGGCATCCGTTAAAATTGGAACGATACAGAGAAGATTTCATAACTGAGAGGCCCTCCTTTCTTAGGCCGCTACAAATATGTTACTCCCTCTTCATCCTTAAAAAAAAAAACAAAAAAAAAACACAGGATTCAGTCTGGTATTCCTGGGAAACTGGCTGATGTGGAAGTTCAGAATTCGGGGAAGAGGGATGTGTTCAACATCATCAGAAAAGAAGGTTATCTGAGTACTTGGTTGCACTGTGGCGGGCTCACGGCCCGTAAAAAAAAAAAAAAAAAGTCCTCAATCAGTCATTCTGGGTCTTCCAGGCTGGGCTGTGGTCACATGCCGGCGTCTGGAAGAGGGATGGGTTCAACATTACCAGGGGGTATTTTTCGTGTGTTATCTAAGAAGGGCTATCTGAGTACTTGGTTATATTGTGGTGGGCTCAGGGCCTGCAAACAATTTCCTCAATCGGTCATTCTGGGTCTTCCAGGCTGGGCTGTGGCTGCCTGCCGAGGTCTGGATTCAGACCCCCTTGCTGGGAGTAATTTGTGGCCTCTGTTGATCCTGCATTCGGCGTTGCGGTCCCTTAGACTTAAAGAAGGGTAGTTTCAAAGCCGATTCCATTCTTTCTTTTTTTTTTTTTTTTTTTTTTTAGCACTGAGGGAGTGACCTCATGCCACAGTTCTGACAGTTCGCCCCGGTCCACTTCTCTGCTCGTTACTGCTTATATCTACAGTGGACTCCTGGTTTCTCATCTTGATGCCTTCGACATAAGTTACTTTAGCGCTCACGCGGGCGATGGTCCTGCCATCTACGTCACACTGCAGGCGGAAAAAATTATATGCGCAGCGCAGTGTTATCTTACCGAAGGCGGAACAATCTCTGTGGGTGATGCGGCGTTATGTAGAGAGGCTATCTCTGTTTCTCGGCAAGCCAAGTGTCCTCTCTGTCCTTCACTATGCAAAGGTCCCTGGTCTGGTCTTCATGGCTCCCTATTTATACCTTCTCGAGTACATAATGACTTTCATCATCTTGCTCCATCGCGATTGCCACTGAAGATGACTGGTAGTCGGCGCCAGTTGAAACATGTCGGGCGCAGCCAATTTCTTCTTCTCTCCGGGCGATCTGGGTATTTGCTGGCGTCTTTTGTGCCATCTGTTTGCGATTCGCCTGATGGAAGCTTCAGAATTAGCTTCATGTTGTATCGTTTCGTTGAATCGCTTGGGCTTCGACAGAATAACGTCATGATCGCTATCCTGTCATCAGCTTGATCGCTTACTTCGATTGCCTGTTGCGGTCCCTTCTTTCTCTTTTTTTTCTCCTCTCTCTCTCTCTCTCTCTCTCTCTCTCTCTCTCTCTCTCTCTCTCTCTCTCTCTCTCTCTCTTACATGCTGCGCCTGCAACAGGCTGCACGGCCCACTTTCAGGCCGAAAGCTTGAAAACAAGGGCCTATAGGCCCTGTGTCGTTTCAGCCTGAAAGCCTGAAAACAAGGGCCTACAGGCCCTGTGTCGTTTCAGCCTAAATCAGGGCCTTTCCGGCCCTGAGTCTTTTCAGCCTGAAACTGAGGGCCATTTTCAGGCCCTCATGAGTTCGACCTGCCCTGAAACTCAGGCACCAAACCAGGGTTTTAGCACAGGCCATTCTGGGCCTGTTTTCAAGACAACCCCTGGTTGACCTTCAAAGCCAGGGTCTGGCACGTTTCGGCATTGGCAAGAGCAGCCTCCTGGACGGGCCAGCACTATATAGGACTGGCCCGCCCTGCAGGCTGCAGGTAGTTCCTAGGTACTTCCCAGGCACTTCACATGCAGTTCAGGAGGCAGGAGGTAGTCTTCAGGATTCGGCAGCAGCACTCTGGAGGAGCGCTGCAGGAGTAGTAGTAGCGCTAGCAGTAGTCTTCAGCCGTGGGCGCTAGTAGCGTTAGCAGTAGTCTTCAGCGCTGGGCGCTCTTAGGAGCTAGAGTAGTACTAGAGAGAGAAAGATTGGGCAGAGGCCAGGGATACTTACCTGCAGCGCCATAGCTCCAGCTTCGCCTTCGAGGTACCTGCAGCACAGCGCCATCTTCACAGGTTAGTACCTGGCATATGCGAGAGAGAGAGTTCTTCTTCTTCCTCTTCTCTCCGTCTCACCCTCTCGCTACCCGACTTCACTGCATCAGCAGACTATGAGAGAGCGGGCTTGGTGACATTTGGATCCAGACTCGACATTGGGCTGCAGACATTTTGACGAGGGATTATTTGGGACTTGTAACAAAGACTTGGTGTTGTCGACATTCCTATCTCTCCCCCTCTTCTTCGTTTGTTCCCCTCCTCTTCGTCTGTGCATGATCTGGACCTGGCACATTCTTCCTGCGTGTAGCGCCAGGCCGCTCCACACCTTGTGATGAGGATGATGTATGTTTGGTCTGCGTTGCAACATTGATTGGGCTAGTCATTGGTATTCTAGCATTCTGCTGCGCTGTCTTGCACTACGTGATAGAGGTCAGTCCCGGTCAGGTCAGGACTTGTATCTAAGTCTTCCCCTGCGCTATAAAGCACCATTTTTGTATATATCAGAATGTACACTGCTTGCTGAGATTTCACTTACACTGCATTGTCCATTCAGTGCAGTGTCCATTCAGTCCTTATTACATTGCGGATCCTCGGTTATATATGTACATCGCCCAACTGGGCATGCAACACTCTCTCTCTCTCTCTCTCTCTCTCTCTCTCTCTCTCTCTCTCTCTCTCTCTCTCTCTCATGTTCACTTACATATGACCCCTCAAACTTTTTCTCCCCTCTACCATTCTATTTCACTATCCCCTGCCTTCCTCTTCTATCAGTGCCTTGCTACCATCGCCCTCTGTTGATCACTGAATATCTATCATGTGCGCTGCTCCTTGTTGAGTTACAAAATGGAATGGCTAAACATGCTTTTGTGGGTGCTCGATCTCTTGGTTTTCTGGTTGCTTGCATTTCAAATCTTTGCTAAAGTTTCTACAGTACACTTAGGTATGCTATCGCTAAAGTCAAACATGAGGATGCAAATCTTTGTGCTACTCTGGTAGGCATGCTAGGCGTGGTCATCCTTATCAACTTTGATCATGTCTTCTTCTTACTCCTTTTCTCCCCCCTTCTTCTTATTTGCATGATTTTGAGCTTTGCGACTTCTTCTGTCGGTATGCTCTAGCTCGTACCAAACAGGACGAACCAGTTCCTGTTTGGACAAATGTGCTGAAATGGGCAAACCCTCTACACAAAGAAAATCAAAAGAAGATATTAAAACGAGCTCAGAGAGATGAATAAATAGAACGCTAAGAAAAATCAATAAGTAAATAAAATACAATCGATTATCTACCCAAAATGAAACAAGTCCCAAAGACCTATGATGACAATAAATATGGTTAACCCGATTAACATAACAAAAGCATAATGGTACACAAAGCCCAGAAATAGCCTCATGGTTGCCTGATCCATTGCCCAAGGGTCCTGACAACTCCTCACACATCCTCTGAGCCATCCTCGATTCCTCGGCCCCCGAGGAGGCCAAACGGGTGAGGGGTGGCATAAGATGATAGTCGGGCCTCCAAGAGAGTGTGGCAGCCCCCCGGCATGCTACAGGGAATGCGGAAATTGAGTTGCAGACACAAATCCTTCCGAGGAGTGGAAGAGCAAAAGTGGTTAGGAGTCTTAGGACCCACTGCAACAGGTTGACGACTGAAATGGAAACAGGAGGCCAGCCATGCGGAGAACAAGGGTGCAGGGACCCATTCTGACAACCCTGTGGAATGATATGCTTGTTTGACGGAACTTTGAGTGGAATGACTTCTCAAAGTCAGACAAGATCCCTGCAGCAGAGGGAGTTGGTCAGGCCTCTCCGGTTCACAGAGAGAGAGAAAAATCTACCGGTATAACATCCCAGCAATTGCTTTTTGACGCGGCAACATGCACGGGGTTGTCTGCTGGAGAAAAATGAATGCCGGCGCCAGCCAAAAGGAGGCATACAGGCAGTATCTTCCACGTTGCCTTTATGCACCATAGCATTACCAGTGTAAAGTTCATGCACGAACACCATGTGGAAGCCATGGAGGCTATAGAAGGTAAAGTTGACCTGGTGCTGCATCATCTGTCATTTCGTGCAGTGCACGGCCACGACAGCCAATGGCCAGGATTGTTAGCAGGGGGGACGATCGTTTTCCAGGGTCTGCAGGACTTTGGGTCGTACTCCGGGGTACAGACCAAAAAGGCAGTTATTACGGGTTATTTGCACAGAATTTGGGACCACACGCCGGACAAGGAAGGAGTGTTGGCGCTTAAAATGGAGATTTGGCAGCGAGGGTTTCCGGGGGAGTTCTTTGATTCGAGACTTCAGATTTTTTCTGACCTGAAAAACAGCGCGTGGAACGACTGGGTCAAGATTTTGTGTGAAAACACGTGGCCTTAGTTGGAGCAACGAGCGGGAAACTGGGTGGGAACGGGCAAGGCAAATACTAATTTTGAAGCGCCGTGGAAGAAAGTGCACGATACTGCTGAGGTCCCCAGGTCAGGAAAAAAGCGGGGTACGAGTGGGCATTAGTTTTAGACCCGGAACAGGCCGGGTGCGAATAATGTTTCTCGCATTGGGGATAGGTGAAAGGCGGGAGTATGGTACGACACGTTAATTTTTTTTTTGCGTAAGTGAATGGCAGGAGAGTAAGCACTAGAATGTGTACAGGGAAGACAGGTAGCAGTAGTATTTATATGACGCGACTCACACGAGGTTATATCATTCTTACCTTTGAAGTAAAGTCCCTGAAGACGCTGTATCTGGCAGCAGTAGAAACACGTTGGGCATTTATGCCAGGATGCGCAGGCAGGATGCTGTCCCAAGCATCGACTTGCACCTCACGGAGAGAGATTTTGATTACCTCGGAAGGACATTAAATTTTTTGTTTCTATCACCTGCATCGAGAGTGTTATGTGGAGTTGTGTCTATCTGAGTCCATGGGTCTATGAGTGGTGGGGGGTCTACGGATGATTGACAATGTACGTTGCTGTGAACTGGAGTGATGTGTAGGGTCTATGACTTAGGCTGAGTCTATGTCCATGGGAGAATGGAGACAACCTAATGGTCGCAGGTTCAAATCCTGCTGTGCCCATAAGGCCACTTTTGTTTTCGTACTTGCAACGACGTTGCCTTGAATATTCTAAAGCACCCACTGCTGAAAGAATTTAACTCTGGTTGAGTGAGAGAGTATGTGTTGCATTTTCGAATTGATGAATGTACTAAGTAACTAACGTGGTATGCTGACTGATTTGGGCTTGTGAGAGCTCACAAGCAGGCCATTACCAACTGCGCTCCTATCAGTACGCTTGGCCACGTGTCACTCTGTGCGCACGACTGTTCAGGCACAGCCGTTAGATGATAAAAGATAGAAACTTGAAAAAAAAAAAAAAAAAAAAAAAAAAACAGGCTGAAGAGTCGCACAACATAAGAAAGGTCAAGAGAGGGTTAATGGAGGCCTGAATTTTCAGAAATTTCTCATGCCATTTATAAGAAAACCCAAAGGCCATTTTAATGAAACTTGTCACTTATACAAAAACACAAAAAAAGTGACCCCCAAACCCTAAATTCAGTTCTGGGCCCGTTGGGCAGGACCTGAAAATAGGGGTTCCCCACTAACCATTAATGGTCAAGCTCTCAAAAAAAAAAAAAAAAAAAAAAAAAAAAAAAAAGGTCAAACTTCTCAAAAGCAAGAAGGAACATCCACGGCCAGACAATGAACGACGATTATGCCCCTGTACTACTTATAAAAACCACCCCCAGTGAAGAGATTTTGTGACGGAAGGAAGAAGGTCCACAACAGGGTGTTGTGCATCGATTACGAGATCGTACTTGTGAAGTCAACTGGCGTTTCCCTCTGTGCACTGCTGAATCTTTCCCCTGCTTCCTCCTCTCCAAGAGCAGCTCGTATCCTCTCCAATGACACACTGCTTCCTGTCTTCACATTGCTGCCATTCTTGGAATTCGCTCTTTGTCGAGGGCTGGAGCTTCTTCCTGCCTGCTGAACAGGCTCCACATGGAATACACAAAGTGCGAGTACCATCATCACAATCAACATTATTACCACCAATAGGTTCATAATCGAAACGGGAATAATGACACCAAATAACATACGAAGAGAAAAAGAGAACCAAAACGCAAAAAGAATAACCCTACCATGTAACAGGACTGGTGCCAAAAAAAAACAAAAAACAAAAGACTGGTGCAGATAGAGCGTGTGCAAGGGAACTTCAATGGGAAACTCTAGTCTCCCTCACACACACTTCATACAACGGCTCAAAGAATTTAGGGTGAGAGCAGGCAGGAGAAGGTTGAGAGAGACTGCAGTGAATGGATTGATGAAGTAACAACAAATCACACACCCTGAATCTCGCTGGTTCTGGAGAGAATTGGCCAGGTGTCATAAATACCACACCTAGAAAAATATGTCCCGGCTCTTCTGGATCTAAACTAGCACCAAAGGAAGGAGAGGCCCTCACCTGAAGGGCCCAATGGAGACTTGGAACTGCATGGGGAGGGCGCTATCCCAGACGGAACTGCGCGAGGCAGGCCGCGGACTAGTCGTTTTCTCACGCTGCAGGGCAAGATCTTCACCGCGGATGTTTGAGTACAAATACATAGCAACCTCGAGACCTCCGCTGGCCTTTGCCGTTTTTGGCAGTGGTTCTCGCTCAGTTGGTGCGCCAATGAATTGTTGAAATGTAGATGCGAGCTAAAGAAAAGAAAGGGGCTCATTAGATACTCCTTAAGGCATCCTCGGGGCCGAAGGAAGTTCGCTTCAGGGGTTTGAAGTAACTTCCCGCCGTCATTCCACCTATCCTCGAGGTGGTCTCCCAAGGATGATTCCCGGCCACTTTCAGAAGATTATAGTTGTCCACGAGGGGGGGGCAATGCCTTGGTCCATTGGGTGATGTCCGTCTCGCTACGGTGTGGTCCAGCTGCCGAAGGCAGGAAATTTTGAAAGGCGCTGGCGACCGGTGAAAAAAACAACCTTAATAAGCAATGGACCTCCCCGTTCAATAATCAAATTTCGAATTGGGTGCTGGACGTCACGACACACGGCGCAGGTGGCGTCCATCTTGGTGACGGTGGAAACGGGCATTTGCAACGGCGCAGTGGAGTCGTCGTAAGTCTAGATGAATTTGTGATCGCCCCGCGAAGGTCCATCACCATCGTCACCTCCTACCACCGCACGTATGCGTGGAGTCGAGCACACGCGGGGAACGTCATCGGGGACTTGGCGCTGAGGTTACCGTGGTTGTGGCGAGTTGGTAGGCTGTTGTATTTTCGTGGTTCATGAGCAGTGCAACACACGTGCCGATGGAGGGAGGCAGCGACAGCGGACATGCAAAGTTGACGACGATCATGGCGGCGGTCGTGACGGCCGTGCTCTTTCGTTGTCAGCAGGAGAGGGCATCGGGCAAAATGAGAGTGCAGATCCACGAGCGGAGGAGGAAGACGCCTCATCAGGACCCGACAGAAGGTCTAGATACCGTGGCCATCACCGATGATGTAGTTTAGGTTTGCTGTGCCATGGGTTGCAGCATTCTTCCACGAGCGACGCTAAGGTGGTGAATGAAAAGGAGGACGGGGGGAGCGTGGGAGGATCTCAGGCAATGCGATGATGCGACGGAGGAGTACTTCCCGGAGAAGCTGCATATGTCGTAACGTGTCTTTCGGGCGATGACAATTGCATCCAGTGTGGACGAAAGCCCGCGGGACGCGTTGCCGATGTCGATGTTGATGTCGACTGCAGTCGGTGTCGATCCCTCGTCTTCTCTTCTGGAGGCCTTCGATAGAGGTCGGCCATCAACAATAGAGGATGCACACGTGGAACAGGAGGACCACGGCAAGCAAAATCGCGACTAGGAACAGCAGTGGCAACCTTCAATAGAGGTCGGTCATCAATGACACGTACGACAAGGCCATAACTACACAACGACGATGAAGGTCCACCGAACGACGATGATGAAGCCTTAGGGAGCAGACGGTAGAGGACAACATACGACAAACACACTCTAACGGGTCGTACACCCTTGCACTCCGAGTCGGGTTGGCCTGCGCGGTGGCTCCTGGAGTGGTCCGCTGAAGACCTGCTCTTCGCCTACCGTTTGTCCATGATGACGCCATTCTTCGCAGAACGCCTCTTGCGTGTGCGTCCAGACAGCCTACCGGGGGGACAAACGTGGAAGACAATTAGGACAAACAAAATGATTATCTGGAGCAGCAGCAACAGCCTTCGAAAGACGTCGGCCATGAACGACACCTAGGGAATGGCAGTAACTACAAGACGCCGATACGCCCCCACCAAACGGTGACGAAGAGGGCAGCAAACAGCAAACCGTGACATCCGACAAATGCCCTTGAACATTTTACGTTGCCGAGTAAAGTGGGGAATCGAAAGGCGGGCCGGCTAAAATATTCAATTTTGCCGACCGTTGAAGCCCAGGGACTTTCCGTTTGGCGGCACACACTGTGAGGGAGAACACTGGTTGAAGACGTTCGCGGAGGCTGCCCGGCCACCAACGGTTACCGTTGGCGTAAGAATCCTGGAAGCTGAACGTTGACGCCCCAAGATGTCCGTGCGGTGGCCAGTAGGTACTCCAATGGACCAGCCGGCGAAAATTTCTTGCTGACGATGGGTGCCCTTGCCGCTCCGATTATCGCGGATCCTTAGACCTCTGAGGGACCTTGGGAGGTACCTTGGGGAAGGCCACAAAATGGCTGTAGCCCGAGGATGCCCCGAGGATTCCCAGAGAAAAATATTTTCACCTTTTTTTTTTTTTTTTATCCCCAAGGATATGTGGTCCAGGAACGATAATTTCCTCGACTACTTCACACGGCCGAGCAGTGTCTAACGAGCCCCAAAGACCCCCGCTTGAATTCCGGTTTCGTCATTTTCCCCTGGGGTGAGGTCCAGTAGCGACGAGGATTGGATTGAATGCCTGAATCTGGACAATTTCGTCAGAATTGCAATTGATATACTTTTCTACATTCACGTTCAGATGATTCAAGATGCTGCCGTTGCTTGGAGATTTTCATTTGCTAATGCCTTGAGTCAGTTAAGCTAACCAGTATAGGTTTGTCTTGTGCTGTTCTATCGACCTGATCAGCATGACTGCACTGGGTATTTTTGGTTTGATGGTCGTCATATAATCAGGTGTAAACCGTCATGAAAGATGAGGGCAAGGATTTGCTTGTGAAACAGTTGATATGCTTCTGTTGTTATACTCCTTGAGAGATACTTGGTGGTCTAGAGGGAGGAAGTAACTCTCAGCAAACGGAGATGGATGTTTATGATTCCCAGTGATAACGGTTTCAGAAAAAGAAAACCAATTAATATGAGCAATAGATTCAATAGATTCAATAGATTCAAAAATAAATAAAGACCCAAGAGCCTAGCTCAGTGGGTACACCCATGAACTGTTGAAATACACACTTGTGTTCGAATCCAGATAATGGAACTTGACGAGTAAAGCCAACTACTAATGAATTGCTTGGGGCCGGTCAGCTCAATGATAATATCTCAAGGCCGTCGCTCTTTTAAAAAAAAAACAAAATAAATAAATAAATATATAAAAATCAATAGATTCAATAGACTGAATAGTGTTTACCAGATCTGCCAGTTTCCCATCACCGTCGAGAGGAGGTAGGTCGTCCATCACTCCCATTGCGTCCATGCCAGGAAATTCGGCTTGCGGCTCTTGTGCTGGCCTGCTCCTTAAATCTCCACCGAGACCACCTTCCTGGGGTTGACGAGAACCATCTGCAAATATCACCCACAGAGAGAAGGGTCCTACCTATCAGTGAAAAAGGGAATATGAACCCCTAGTGCAGATTGCTTAGCGACATAAAATTATAGATAAAAATAAAGGAAGAAAAAGAAAAAACGGGAGGAATAGATAGTTCAGACCATCACTGCAATTTCAGTTTAAATTTGACGTCGTTGAACATGCAGTGTATAATATTTTCCTGGGGAGACAACAACTGGACAACAATCATCAGCCGTTAGTTCATTTTCAACTTCTGTCCAGGACTGACAGATGTTGTTAGCCTACCGTCTTCACCCGAATATAACGCCCAGTCATTATAGCTGTATTTGACACACCTTTCAGCCCAGATACAGCTATAATTACTGGGCGTTCTATTCGGGTGAAGACGGTAGCAAATGATTAGTCCCCAGGCTGGTGAGGCTGGTGTGTATGTGTGCTATGGGACCAGCTGGTTCTCAGCATCATGGGACTGATGCTGGTGTGCACGTGTCACAGCTAGCAAAATTTGATGGGATTTTCTAATGCCTTTTTCTTTTTGTTTGAAAAAAGTCTGGCTGCTAAATTCATATTTGCCTGTGAACCAAGGGAATGCTCTACCACCTGAGCTACATGGGCTCACGGGGAAATTGGAGACGATTGGGCTTGAAGCCTCAAACCGATAACTTTGCAAAACAATGTCATGCGTTCTGCTGCTTGAACTATGCCCCCGGCGGAACGGAGGAAATGGGATTTCAATTCTCAACCCATGATGTCTGAAAAGTCTGGCTTCTAAATTGATACTTGTCTGTCAATGATCATCAAGACAAGGTTGGTGGTGGGGATTAAGAAAGGCTGAATGCAGCAGCGCCCAGGTTCACAGGGGGGCCACGGGGTCTCCCAGCACCTACCAAAGAAAAGAAGGAACCAACTGTCACAGGCAGGTATAGAAAAAGAGGTGACAAAAAAATAAGAAGGGAATTTATAATCAAACCATGGAATGTAAATGGACCCACCCGGCATAATCTGTCTTCCGGAAACACCCACCTAAGGCAAGCCCGGTGTAGCAAAAAATAAAAGAGAAAGTAGAATTCAATCTGAAACCTATCAAAGCAATCTTAACCTACTGGGTCTCATGCCAAGCCCTCAGAATTGACGAGTCTTATCCTCCACATGCATAGCAAGTCCAGAGCCAACGACAGAATCGTTATCCAAAGGGGCAGGTGGGTAAAAAACAACCTGAAATTTCTAGAAGAAGAAATAATAAATATCGGTCATAGAAATATATTGCTCCTAATGACAATCAATATAAATCAATTTTCTTTTTCTTACAATTATCCCTCAACCCAATCATCCCCTCATACAAGCACTCCATGCTAATGAGTGATGAGAACGCTGTTGCTGACCCACATGTGGACATAATATCAACTGCAGCAGACCCTAACCACACCTCGGAAAATGGGGGCGTTGCCCTGTAACCTGCAATTGGCAGGAGTGTGAGGCCTTGTAGAGAGATCTGGGGATTAGCCGAGGGAGGAAGGCAATCCATTGGCGAACCGGGGGGGCTGTCTTTGACTACCTACGGGGCCAAGGTCAGTCTAGGTGGCGAAAACAGGTCAGCTATGGTAGACATTGGCTAGGAGGGTATTGTCTCGGAGATGTAATGTCCWGGTGCAGGGAGGGCTGGGAGGGTCTAGGATTAGGAGGCCAGAAGTGYTGTTATAATATACTCTTCGATACACTTATTCATCATCATCATATTCATTTTTATCATCGTCATCTTCATCATCATTAGTATCATCATTTGATTATTGTTATATTAAG